TTAATCGCGACAGAAAAGCATCATTAATGCTCCAAGTGGTTTTATTGCATTTTGACGAGTTCGTACATACGTATCACATTTATTAATGTCGTGATTAATATTCGATATTTCGTGATGACGTGAAATTGAAGAGGAAGCGTCATATACGATATTCATTGCGATATCAATTTGAAAAGAGAATATTAAAATGAAATTTATTATCATATGTATATCACGAAATATATTCTAGGAAGAGTTCGAAATTTATCTTTTCTTCTTTTCATTCTCGTTCATTTGACATTAATTCTCTGTCAAGCATCGTAGCACTGGAGAAAGTGATGTGAGTGATGAAATAGACATTCATTCAAATATTTATTCAAATATTCTTTTTCTTGTTGTAACAACAAAAATTCTATTATATCGCTAGAATCGACAGCGAATGTATAATATTATTTATTTTCTTTCTCTGCAAAATGTTAAAATAATGTTAATGTACTATTGCTTATTTCTACGATCCGGATGTGAGTTTATTTAAACTTAGACAATTTTAAGGAACAATTTAAAAATTTATTGTATATATATTGCTGATAAAGATATGGAAGATATGGACAAAGAATAATCGAAGTGACCAAAGAATAATCGCGCTACATTTGTAACCCGCTTAATTTATCCTCTACTAGAAACGTCATCTCGTTTTCCCCTCTTATTTTTGTTTCTTAATTCTCCTATATTTATTTCGGGTAAATTGAGCAAACGTTTACTTTCCTTCACATACGTCAACTTCACGATGTGTCATTAAGTTAAAAATTTCGTTATACAACGCAATGATTCTCACGCATGTACAATGGAACTTCCCCCAGCTAACACTAAATATTCTCAGAAAGTTCGATTTGTATTATCAATGTACTCAATGTTCCGGAACAATAAAATAATCGTTACAGAATGTGTAAATGTTGATGAAATGTTCAGAATATTGTGTGCATACTCCTTATATATTTTATGAAAATTGCAAGCGAGCGAGCAGTACACATCTCCGCCGACAGAGGGCCGCGACGAAGAGCATTTACTCGTAAACAAGAATCACCTGGAAGAGAATGAATGAAAGGAGCGCAGCACTTCGTCTGTGAAGTGAGCCCCCCTAAAATTGGACTCCAAGGTGAAATTTTGTTTAAAAACTGATTCATAGATGATCCAAAATTTTTGGAAAAATTAAAATTTTACGGAATATATATGGAATATATAATATATGGAACATTCTCAAAATATGTAACGATGTACAAATGAAATTTTTAATCGACATTTGAATGTTTCTTTTACATGCTGTAAATATTCGGAATATTTTGGAATATTCTTGGAATGTTTTTTGGGGATTTTAGAATGTATTTCCGTAGAATATCCTAATTTGATCAGATTGATCCAAAACATTAAATCGTTCATATTATTAGCTCAGGATATTTGTAATTATTATTGTACTAATATTAAACGTCCATAAAATATCCTATTTTAATTCGAAAAAATTTTGATCACTATATTGCGATAAATTGCATTTTTCAACTTTCGATACATATATGTCTTATACATATTGGGTCATTTAAAAAGTATCCGCGGTTTTTTCATTCAAAAATTGAACAAAAAACCGCGGATACTTTTTAAATGATCTATTATATTTATGTATTTTACGTATATTATACAGACATATCTTTGCGATTTAATTATTAATTTTTTAAATGTATACATAAATATCTCACACAACATACTAAAAACTTTTGTTTCGGGAAGAATTTTATTTATTTTTATGTTATTAATTTGACAGTTGCAGCTAAAGCTTATTTTGTTTTTTGTTGTGCAGAATTTATTTTTAAATATGGTTATTTATTAATTAACAAAGCAAAAGGAGTTTTCAGGATATTTTACAAAATCGGTTCTATGGACTGTAAATACTGTTTTAATGAAAATTTTCTATTTTACTAATTATACTAATTATGAATACTTCTATTTAAAAAAAATACTTTCAGAGGCTCCATAAGTACACTCTGATCGAGCTAATTAAAAGTAAATAACGAATTCCATTTGTATTTGCTCTTCTTATAGAGATCCGCGTATCTTGGCGGTTCTTGTAGTATACTCTGCCAGATAAGCGGCGTAATACATAGTATTGCCGCGAGATAGACTCGTTTTCCGTAAGGAGAAAATGACGCGGGCCTTACGGAAAACTATTCATAGTCAGATCTTATATCCAAGACCGTCTTAAGTACGATCTTAAAAAGTCATGAACCAATCAGAAGGCTGCATTAGCGTCTTAAGACATTAACTTAAGACGATCTTGAAATAAGACTAAACTGTGAATACCGGCCGCGGATTCCTATAAAGAGGCGTATGTAAATGGAGTCTATAATGTTCTATGGATGTAGAATAAGCGGACATATAAACATTCTCAGTATAAAAACATATAAAAAATAAGAGCATAAAAAACCACAGCACAAGTTATAGTTTGTGATATTTAATTGTTATTACATAAATTAAAATATTAAACGTTTCGGCCACAATCTGGCCATCTTCAGTAATTCAATAATATTCTTAAAACGCAGAGTTACATCTAGTTGACATTAAATTCAACAGTCGAGAGTTGTAATTAAATAAACATGTTCTTTTATATGTGAAAATGCTTCATACAGTAATGTTACAACGCCAGTTGTCATATCAAGAAAAGTGTAGAACAAGAATTTCCAGATTCTAATTTAAATAAAATTGTATATATTAAAATCTTCTAGTCGGAATATAAAGAAATAGAATCATTACCTATTTTACAGCAAAAAAACCAAACGATGAATCTCAAGTATTTCTTTTACACAATTAGAATTTTGTCGTGACATTATGT